AAAATAATGAAACAACTTCAGTAGTAGACTTTAAGAACACTGATTTATTATAAACTCGGATATTTCTGCCACTCCTGTGGCCTTCATCAGCGAGAATAAGGAAAACATCATGAATCAATATAATATAAGCTGTCTTATCAAAAAAGAATAAAGGTGACAGAGAGCAAATGAGAAATACTTATAAAACTGTAAAATGATTGGTCTGTTTATCTATGCATACTGAGTATCTACAATAATAAAGAACCAAGAGTGTTAATTGCAGAGACTAGTCAAATAAACTATCCATTGTATTGGCCAGCACCACACAGATAAGATGGTTATTTTAGAGAAATGGATCATATTATAGAGATTATAACTGAGCCAACACTGTATGAAGACCTAATAATATAACGTATGCTAGGCCTTTGAATATACCTAGAATAATAAATGAATGAAGCAATGCAGTAATTAATAAAAATAATAATAGTAATAATAATAATAATAATAGTAATGATGATAAAAATAATAATAATAATAACAACAACAACAACAACAACAACAAAATAATAGTAATGAATAAATTCCAAAAAATAAAATAAAATAAAATCGGGTAACTACAGAAACGGATCGAAATGAAAAGTTATGCCTTAAAAAACGAGAACCCACTAAGGATACCAAGTCCTTGTTTAAACCCGATACGTGTGTTTTGTGTCTGATAATGAGTTTGAGTTCCATGAGTCTACGTTGGTTGAGGGAGAAATTAGTGGATATGAGGGCACACCGTAGGTTGCTGAGAGAATGGTTGGGAGAGTTAAAGTGTTCTGCTACAGGAAAACCTGTGCGATTGCGTCGGATAGAAGATTTGTGGTTATTAAATCTGGACCTAAAATCAACACCAGTTTCGCCAAAATAATGACCATCATCACAAATGTTGCAGAATAACATAAATACAACATTGTGAGCATCACAGTTAAGAGAGGGGAGACGAATAGTGCAGCCAGAATGAGGCATAGAAATAGAGCAATCGGTGGTGATAAATTTACAAATTTGACATCTAGGCTTGTGGCATTTGGTATTACCAGCGGACCTACAGGGTGAAAGTAAGCGAGATGAAAATAGAATAGAATTGAGATTGGGCGGTTGGCGGTTGGCAACTACTGGGGGATCATTGAAATGGTGTTTATGGAGGGATCGAGTTTGTGGGATTGAAATCCTTGTTTAAGTCTGTTAGCTATTTCGGAATTACTGGGACTGTAATCAATGGCTAGGGGTATGCGTTCCGTGATGGGCTTAGGATTGGGAGAGAGGAGAGAAGTTCTAGAAAACCTATTAGCTCTAGAGGTTTGCTTGAGGATGAATTTAAGAGGATAATCTTTATCCAGAAAGTAAGCCGTGAGCTTGTTGACGTGATCAAAGTAGTCATCATCGTTAGAACAAATTCGTCTGATGCGAAGACATTGGCTGAATATCAATGATTGTTTGAGTTTAAGGGGATGAAAGCTGTTATATTTAAGATAACAGTGACGATCAGTGGGCTTGTACAAAGAAGTCGGGAGTTGCCCGTCTGTGTAACCTTGACAGAGACATCGAGGAACGAGAGTGTTGAAGAATAAGAATGGGTTTGCATGTATGCTCCAAGTGAAATAAAATGCAAAAGCAATGAAAAAACGATGTACAATCATTGAAAGTGGACTTGCGGAACACAAATTTATTAAGGTATAACAAAATCTAAATTCTCACTTTAACGTTGATAAAGATAGCAGGAGCTATCGAAATATCCGTTTGATTTTATTATACCTTAATAAATTTGTGTTCCGCAAGTCAACTTTCAAT